TCTGGTTACTGGACGAACAAGTTTGCATAGCTATCTTGCCTCTTATGGCCCACATTCCTTCTTTTTCTCAATCATAAAGGATTTATAACACAATAGCACGTTAAATGCTGTTTATGTACATGCCTGTGTATGCAGTGCCTGCCATGGTTTTTCGTTCTTGTGCCCTGGTTTTGCTAGCAGACCTGTGTGGGTGAACCTTTGCAATGGGGAGAGGAGTCCTGTGCACATGACCCTAAATTTGCAATCACATAACCATGGGCATCAAAGGGTGGAGCACCAGAGTCCTTGTTCCCTTTGTCCATGTGGGTGATCTCAGTGACCCTGGTGAAGATCTTAAACGGAATAACTCTGCTAAGATTTATATGCGGTTGCGGGCTTTAATGTTGTTTCTCACTGACTTGTGCTTTGTTTTTCCTTTTAACTTTCTTTTTTTTTTTAAGAAACCTTTAAGTCTTCTGCTGGTATTGATAATTTTTTTTTGGTGCATTTTTATTATTATTTTAAAACTTGCCTGGCAGCTGCTTGTCAAAATTAAACGATCCAGTGAGAAAATGCCTGGTTTCAGGTTGGTGAGGGTGCAGAGTTGTTTGTAGGATCAAGATGGCTAAGCAATTATTGATAGCTCTTCCAGTTCTGGAGACCTTTGAGACAGTAAGGCAAAATGGAAAGACTGTTTTCCAATGAAAGGTTAATACCATGTAATATCTGAAAGGTTTTATCGTGGAGTCTACCTACCCACTAGAGGTTTTGCCTGCCCTGGCCTGAATTGGTGTGCCTGACAAGCGTGGTGAAGTTTGGGATCTTGTTGTCTGGCATAGTGTCTTTCTGTCTGCTCAGGGATCTGTGGTGCACAAAGGAGTAATGTACTGAAGAAAGTTTTTAAGCAAAACTGAGGGACAGCAGAAATCGTCTTAAAACTTCCTCTGTAGTCTGATTTGTCTCAGCAAATGCCAACAAATTGATTGTCACTCTTGTATAGCAATCAAAGTATGCTCTCAAAGATTTTGCAAAGATTTATTAACAAACAAGCAAAGGGGAGGACAATCTGATCTTAGAATTATAGGAAGTATCTTGCTCAATGCCTGTTTGGCTTCGTGTATTTAATTTATCTGTCTTGTATTGTGTGCAGATGTGAACATACAATAATCTGTGCTTATTCATGAACGCAGGTATATGCTCCTCTTCCTTCCCTTTCTTTTTCAGCTTCCCAAGACCCCTGGCCAGGAGAGCAAATGTAGGGCTGTAAGTGTGGAAACGGAGCCGTCATGAGAAGTAGAATAGCAGCCTCCACTGGGTCTAGACTGTGGTACTAAAGCAGCAGAGTACTTTGTAAGATGATGTTGAACATGAACATCTGTAATCAATTTTGAGCGGGTTTAGTGTTAAACAAGTGCTCTCCTTGAGGCTCGTGAGCCCACTTCAGGAGATACTTAAGTGTTTTATTGAATTTTAATTGGCTTGAAGGCTGGCATCAGGACACTTGGAGTGGATTTGGCAACCACAAAACACAGGCAAAACTGATCCCAAAATAGTCTGATTTAGGTTTTGCACAAATGGGTAACGTGTGTCTGAGTGTCCCATTAACTTGCCAGTTTGAACACTAAAAGTGAATGTGTTCTCTTAATAATGAATTCTTCCTGTACAAGGTTTTTTATTTTGGTAAAGGGTTACTTTCATAGCTCCTTCTGCCCTGCCTTGCAGTCATATCCCTGGATTTATTAATTCAGCACAGACTGTTGTGTTTGTGGTGACAGAAACTGCTACGTCTTCTGCTAGGTTGTGTGTAGTTTCATTAAAACACTATGCCCTAATAAAATACATGTAAAGAGAAAGCTTTCCCATGCATCCCCCAGTTAAGTGTAGTGATTATTTTGTGAATGAAGAAATCTTTTTTTCCAAACATAAACAGAATTGTCTAAGTCCTTAGATTGTGTGTATTTTGCTAGTCATCAATAGTGGTGGTTTTGCTTGTCATCTGCCAGAACAAAATCCACAGCTGTTTTTTGCAGGAACCTGCTATACCCTGAACTGTGATGTGGGACAGCTGTAAAGCAGCTTGTTGTTCTTGTCATTCTTCCTCAATTACCCAGTTTCTGTACTGTGACAATTTTAGCACTTCAAACACAGAACAATGCTTTGTCCTTATGTGGCTTGGTAGCTAATTTTGAGTGTATGTGAAGCAGAAATACTTCGTTTTGTGGCTGAGAAAATGAAGATGAAATGGTGATTTGCTCAGGATTGCTCATGGGATGGCACCAGTGGGGAATGAGGTGCCAGGTCAGGCCTTGTGGCTGCTGGGACAGCCTTGCTGGTGGGCTGCTGTGTAACATAGCTGTACATGCATGGAGTGGTAAGGATAGGTCTGTCAGAACAACGTGGGTGGGTGAGTATGAGGAGAGGTATGGGAGAGTACGAGCTCCAGGCAGGTGTGAAGAAGAGCGTGCGGTGACAGGATAAAATGCAGCACCTCTGGGTGAGGTGGTGGTGCAGTGCCCGGGGCAATGGCATGGTGGTGTAGACATGTCCTCCCAGAGCCAGACCAGCTCTTCAGGGACAGCTCCCTGGATTGTGTTAGTCCTTGATGGTGTGACCCAGGGCCGGTGGGCGATAGCCAAACTGTCCTTGGTGCCCTCAGCCAGCGCAGGCTCTGCCAGCCCTTTTGAGGCCTGGTGTCACCCCTGTGAGAAGGCACTGTAGGGAAGTGGGAGTGAGACCTTCCCAGCATGGCCTGTGGTTCCCCAAGCCAGGCCTGTTGTGGTTATGAACAGTAACAAAACATTGCTTGTTAGGAAGGAAACCCAGCTCACTTCTCATGTTGAGCTAGAAAATGAGCTGGAAACGGGAGGTGTCAGACTCCATGAACCGAGCCTCATTTCAGGGCAAGAGTAGTGAGTAACTCTTTAAGGCCAGTTTTTGTTAGATGACTTTGAAAAGCATTCAGTTATTTCTCATCTAAGTAAAATGCATAAGATCTCACATAACTCTAACATTTACTGATTTTAAACACTGACATCAGTGCATATTAACATTTGGACAATTAAGAACGATAAGGCTGAGAACAGTTTTATAACCCTCAAACAGAGTAAATATCAAAGAGTATCCCAATTTCTGACAGAATAATTGATGCTTAGGGAGGTGTTCCTCTACATATCAAGGCCTTCATGAAGCCCTCAGGGATCACAGCTTGCTCTTCATGTGATACAGTCAGACTTCACGTGCAACAAAGGTCAGTGGTTTTATGTCGAAGTTTCTCAGATGTCAGTGTTTAGGCATCAGCAATTCAACCACAGCAACAAAAATTTGAGAATCCAGAGAAAGGGCTCCCAAGCGATTGAAGGCTGTGGTGTATAAGGCCCTTGATTTCAGGGGAGAAGCTGTTTCAAAGTTGGCTTCATCAGGTCCCAGCTTCCAAAAACTGGTGGAAGGATTCCTCATGATAGCAGCACGCTTTGAATCACGTCCAAAGTGAATTTTGTGTTTTGCCACATTTTTTGTAGTTGTGAACATGATTGTCTTGATTTTCACATTCAGGAGTAGGGTCCACATAGCTGTAGTATTCCTGCAAGATTTTGGTCTGACATGGAGCACATGCATCCCCCTCTTCCTCATGGTTCCTGGACGGTGCTGCTGAGTGCTGAGTCACAAGTCCTGGCCACTAGTGACCAATGTACAAATAACGCATTGGGAAGGGTCCTGAGAGATGCAAAACGTCTCGTCGTCTTCAGGCAGTCAGAACCCTTGCAAACAGTGCTGTGGCCGATGCTGTAGAGATGGACCCTATGCACTAAAGCTACTCCTATGGAGCAGCTGCAGGACGTGGTCTGGGTTTCTCTCCTGTGTTTTCCTGAGCCTGGGAGAGTAAGAAGTAAAGTTGCACTAGTTTCTGGGCAGTTTATTTTGTTTTTTCTAATAAATGGAATCTGTTGACAGATGCTGACCGTAATTTTGAGGAGGCAAATGTTGTTTTGGTAGCTTTCATTCTTATGCTAAATCATCCTAGCAATTAATGTCTGTTGGGCTTGATTTCTTCAGAAAATTGTGAGCTTTACACGTGAAATTAGTAGGTTACTGAGATGCCTAAATTATTTAATTTAGCCTAGCTTTAAGCAGCAGCTCATACAGACCATGGTCTCGGAACTCAGCAAATGGTGATGATATATCCCCATAGCTGTAAGCTGATGTACCGTGCGTGAGAAGCTCCTGTAGCGGAGTGCTGAGCCTCCTTAGAACCTGCCTATTGAGTGCACGGTTTTCAGAAACATTTTTCAGAGGAGAAATTTGTATGAGCCCTTCTTGGAGAAGTCATATCTAGAATTTAGACTAGACTTCATGCTTTGAAGCTGCTGATTTTAAACAAATGTTGTGTAAGGATATTTTGAAAATTTCTTGCTGATCACCGTGATTTATTGATGAATTACTTGAATGGTAGTGCTCCAAATGGTTTCTGTTTTTTCATAAAGCAATTTCTACTCTTTTTCCGAGCTTTTAACTGTTCACAGGTTTTTAAAAGTGCAGAACTGTAATGTCTATTTTGAATAACACCAGAAGACTGCTTGATACCAAACTGTGGTTGTGATTTGAGTGTGATTTGAGTGTAACTTGTGTTTGCAGGTAATGCATCTCTATGTTCTGTTCTTTGTATGAAGATCACCCAGGTTGTAAAAGAGGGTTATTCTTGAGTTATGCCCATTTTACTGCTGCTGTTTGGCCTGATGGCTGTTAACAGCCACTGACACTTTGGAACCACTTTATAGTGAAACTTTGGATGTGCCCCTTCACCTGTACCTCCTCTGTTCTATCTGCTCAACAGATCGACTTCATGGTAGGTGGGCTTTTCATAACAGAGGAGCAGTGAGTTGGCATGTGCACATGGCATTGCACAACATTGCTCTAGGAGCAGCAAGAGAGATTTACTATTTCACTTGATCATTAAATCAATTTGCCCCTTCCAAATTCACTATAAACTGGGTCTGCTATGAATCTGAGCTTCAGAGAAGCCCATGCTGATGGCATTGCTTAGATTATTGCATCCTAATCTTGCATGTCTTTTGCAGAACTTTCTTTTATTCCTAATTTATATTTCCTTTCTTGCTGCATTTTTTTTTTCTATTTTGTATTGTAGGATCGGGATATTCACCCCTTGAAGATGATGAAGATGTGTATGCACGCAATAGATATAAAGGTGAATGCTTTGCTTATATGCTAAAGAGGATCAGCTAGTTGCTAAAAGAAAGCTTTCTTCCCTTTCTTTTAATGGATTATAAAATCTTGGAGATCCACCTCTGTGGTTTTCCTCATGGATTTTTAGATCAAGATTTAATTTCTACCATTTTTAACAATGGAAATTAGACCAAGTACTGATTACTGCTCTTGTATGCACCTGAGTAAGTAACTTCCGCACTGCCTCTGCTCTCGGAAGATCAGGTGGTTAAATCATGAAAATCCAGAAAGAGCTGCTCTTTTCTTCATACATCCTAACAAAACCATCAGTCCTAAGCTAACTCAAAGCCTGGGCCTGTTGATGGTAATGTATAGAAGCACGTGCAAGAGAACTTGATTTTCATGACTTCTCTGTAAAATTGTTTGCATTTTGGGTCAACCTGTCCCCTGAAATGTGAAGTGTGTTTAACAAATGAACATGTGTGTTCTAAAACAAATTATGTAGCTGAATGAATGAGTGAATGGAATTTGGTCTTTATAAAGCAAATTCATGTTTTCTTCCTTATTCTAGAAGATTTTGCCATTCAGCAAAAAACACTGTGATAAATCTTCTGTTTACTGTGCCAGTTTTCTTAAAAAGTCTGCTGCTGTGTCAGTACCCCTCTCTTCTGTCAAAATCCCTCAGGAGCCCAGACAGTAAAGAAACTTAACCTTCCATTTGTCACTTTAAATGGTAACTGTGTTTCTTTTTAGTAAACTTATCTGTGGATATGCTAGAATTATAATGTAATCATTCTGATTACTTGAAAATACTGAGCATTGGCATCTTGTTGTATGTTACTGATTCTCTGCAAAGAATCAATGGGCCTTCTAAGAGGTAAGTCGTAAAGCAAATCAGACATTTATGAACAACAAAGAAGAAAGCACAGGTGCTGTGGCTATACTGCTGTTTTCATAAATGTCTTCTGTTTTACCCAGTAAAATACTTCAGTGTAAAATTTTGCTTTCAAACACATGCAGAAATATTTCTCTAAAGCTTTATTTGGGTAAGCTAGTTTTTTATTTGCCTTTTAACGAGTAACCCTCCGCAGACACGTAGAAAAAGAATTCCAGAGATCATGAAGATAAATCAATGCCAATTCATGCCAGGGCAGGCAAGTAGTTAAAATGCAGATTCTGTATAAATTCCTTTTATATGGTGATCCCAAATGGATTATACTCATGTCAGCCAAAATGTCACCGGGGTAAGTGAAACATAATGACTCATTCACGCAGATATTAAAAACTGCCCTGAGTTTGGAAGTGCTACTGCCAAATGTTGAAGATCAGACAATGTGAATCTAAGACTATAAAGCGTTGGAGTAGAAAAGGCTCACTCTTCATTAGCATACTTATTTAAGTTGGTACTGGGGGAGGAAGGTGGAGAAAAGACAAAGCAAGGAAAAATGGGCTGAGTAGCTATGTGCAGAGCTTTTCCTTATATGTGCAGTCCAGCATTTTGGGTATGACCCATTGCTAGGCAAATAAAAGTTTCCAGTAACAAATAAGTAAATGAATTTTCTTATCTGGTGTTAACATACCTAAAGCACCATTGGTTTTTTCTTTGCACACATACTCATTATACAGTGCAAGCAAGCACGCACACTTGGCACCTTCAAACATGCAGTTTCTTGGAGGGGTGGGAATCGACCTCCTATCAAACCCTTTTGTCTTTGGCTGGATGTTTTTCAACTTGCTCAGCTTTCCCGAGAAACATCGCTGAGACGTTCTGTGCCCACAGCATTTTTAAAGAGTTTTTCCCCTTCCTCCCCGGTGAACCCTCAGCTCTGTTGGCTGGTGTACCAGCAAGCAACAGGACAGCCTGTCACTTTGCATGCTGCTTGTGGGAGAAGTGCTCAGCTGAGGCTGGTGTTTAAACAAGACTGAAGAGTTGGGGAAAACAATGCTCTAGAAAATGCTTTCCTTCCTGCCACTTGGCCTGGCTGTCTGGGATCGTATTTGATGAGGAAAGGCTTCGCGAATGCTGCAGTTCCCGTGTTCATCAGAGCTCTGGTGACCCTTGTTCCTAGTATGTTTCCCATAATGATCAAATGGTAGCCCTAGCTGTAGAGGCAACATTGTGGCCGCAACCTATTCTGTTTGCTGCCTGTTTTCCAGTGTTTCAGACACAGGATTGAGTCTCTGAAATCTGTTACTACTAAGGGATAATGCAGGCTATTGTATCTCTGAGGGGGTGGCACAAACTTTCTGTTAAAAAAACACTACATGGGTCCTGGTACCTAAAAACTCAAATTTCGGTTAGGTGAACAGAGCCCAGTACAGATGGTGAAGCCCCAGAAGAGGTGCCTGGGAAGCCTGTAGCTTTTCATTTTCCCAAATGCTTCAGGAACATAGCTGATCTTTTCTTGAGACAGGGAACAGCTTGTGTGACCTCGCAGGGCCCCATCCAGCCCTAGTAGTCTGTAAATACTCCATGTAGCTGCTTGGCCTTTGAAAACCAGTATGTGCCTTCACTTAAAAATAAACAAACTTTGATCTAAAATTTTATTGTATCGTTTGATGTGCTTTGAGGCACATAAGCTTTTCAAGTTAGATGAGGTTTTTTTCAGTGCTATCGGTTGGTCTAAATTTAGATATTTGCCCCCTTATAAACCCTGCCTCACCCACCTTCTTCTAATCACATTCAGTTCTAGAATAAGCATAGGAATGTTTTAGATCAAACAGATGTTCCTCCTGAGCTCTTCAAGTTATCTGCATCCAAAAGCATGTCTGTTTTTGTTTTTCTTTCTGAAAGTATCATTTGATCGGGTAAAGGATGTATTACCCCACCCTAAGAACCTTGCATTGTTCCTCTCCGTAGACCACCATAGCTGCAACGATGCTGCAAAAGGGCTTTTTCTTTGTCAGTATTCCGTCTGTGCATTAAACTGCATTTGTTAGCTGTTAGCCTCTTCTGTTTTTTAACAAGTGTGCAGCTGTTTACTCAAGGCAAGCGTGCGAAGCCACAAAAACTTGCAGAAAAACTGTGGCAATTTTCAATATCTGAAACAGCTGCTTTGCCTTTTTAATAAAAAAAAGAAAAAATTGAAGTTTAGGGTCTTGGGGCATGAGAAGAACGAGTGGGACAGGAAAGTTGGAAATTCTGGGGATGAAACCAGAAAAGTTGGAAATTCTGGGGATGAGACCACTGAAGAGGAGACTATGGAAAAGCTGTTCTTAGCTCAGGAGGAGGATTCAGGAGGTGAATGAGACACAGGCTGCCTCTGCGAGTCCAACATGCGTGGCATCTCCCAGAGAGTGGTCAGAAGTGATGCTGGACACCTCACCAGTGGCAGCGGGGCTGGAAGCTAAGGAGGCTGCAGGGGTGGGTGCTGTCATCGCTCCATACTTCAGCAGTAGCCGACTGACTTGTATTCCTGTTAGCTCACACTCCTCACCTGCTCTCTCAGTTTCAATTTCGTTCACAGCAAGCATGAAAAATGTGAGCTGCTGTGATACAGCCCCTCAACAAAGTGACCCAAGTCAGTTGATGGTGTTTTTTTTTTTTTTTTTTAATGTTCTTTGTTAACTATGGGATGGAGGAGATTAGGGTGAAGGACAGGAAACAGTTCTAAAAAACCCAACAAAACCAACAAAAAGAAACGCAACAGGACCCACTCTTCACCGAACTACTTTGCAGTATTGTAAGGTAAATGGTGGTGATTTTATTTTATATTCAGTACTTCTGGAAAACAGGACCACAGGTCGTAAAAACCAGAGATGGGATGATTGTGTGGCTGAGCCAAAAAGCTGAAGCTCACTCTGCCCCTAACCTGCTGTGTGCTGATAGACTGGCCTGCTCATTTGCCGTGCCTCAGTTACTGTGTATTTGGTGACACTGGGAATGTCCTACTTATGTATCTTTGCAAAGGATGTATATATCACACATACTAGTGAAATACAAAAATAAGCAGTTCGCAAGACAATACGACTGCTTCAGAAATGGACTAGGCCAGAGGAAGGTGCTCTTGGTCAGTTTAAAGCTTGCCCTTTAGTCTCTGATTTTAGTCCTCAGATGCTATTTGTGTTGATTCAGGACCAGCACAGCAAAATGTAGGTGCAAAATGTAGTTTCCATTGGGAAAGTGTAAATATGTCCTAGAGACGATGTACACTGAATATAAATATCCCATGTATGAGAAAAATAAAACAAGCTACATTGATTTTTGTTTATTTATGTGTGGAGCTGATCCAGATTGTGTAGAAAAACATATATAACTACTGCAGGAATTAAAAGCTAGAAGTGATCATCTACCAGAGATGGTCTAGAAATTATTTTTAAATGTCTCCTGTGACTCTGTAAGGATGAAGGCTAAACCTCATTGTGTTTTGTTTGTTTGTTTTCCCATCCTTATTGCAGACTTCTAAAGTTTTGTCACGTCACACATTGTCACGCAGGATTTCAGGACCTGTCATCCTTCTTCTTTGCCTTGCAATCCCTCCCTCCCGCTCAATTCGTGCCTTTCAAATCTTGGAGCTGAGAGGAGGGCAGGCTTAGTCACTCCTTGTATAGGAAACTCCTACTGAAAGAAGCTGCCCGCTGCAGAAAAAGCACGGCTTTCTTGGTTCACCCTGTTGTCAAAGCTAATCAAAGACTTGGAAGCTTTAGCTGCAAAGGGACAGTCTCTATTTGATGCTGCACCCATCAGTATCACAGTACGGTGTTAAATCCTCGCAAGAAGATGGTACCCATATCCCAAGTATTTTTAAGTGTGGCACTGACCAGTTATTAAAGGTTCAGTTTTATGTACATGTGTTTCCCTTTTTCTCAAGAATTTGGTAGGAGCATTAACCATGAAGTCCCAGCCAAATTCCAGCTTTCCTCTGACTTGGCAGGTGCATCCATGTCACTATCCTGCATCTGGACACGCTCCAGCATGTAAGTGTCCTTCTTGCAGTGAGGGGCCCAAAACTGCACACAGTATTCGAGCTGCAGCCTCACCAGTGCCCAGTACAGGGGCACAATTACTGCCCTAGTCCTGCTGGCCACACTGTTCCTGATGCAGGCCAGGATGCCACTGGCCTTTTTGGCCACCTGGGCACACCACTGGTTTATATTCAGCCAGCCGTTGACCAACACCCCCAGGTCCTTTTCTGCCTGACAGCTTTCCAGCCACTCGTCCCCAAGCCTGTAGCGCTGCCTGGGGTTGTTGTGACCTAAAAGCAGGACCCAGCACTTGGCCTTGTTGAACCTCATACAGTCAGCTTTGGCCCATTGGTCCAGCCTGCCCAGATCCCTCTGCAGAGCCTTCCTACCCTCAAGCAGATCAGCACTCCCACCCACCTCTGTGTCATTTGCAGACTTACTCGATCCTCTCATCCAGGTCATTGATAAAGATGTTAAAGAAAAACAGCCCCAGTACTGAGCCCTGGGGAACACCGCTTGTGACCAGCCAGCAACTGGATTGAACTCCATTCACCACAACACTTTGGGCCCAGCCATCCTGCCAGTTTTTTTGCCCGGCAAAGAGTGTGCCCATCCAAGCCATAGGCAGCCAGTTTCTCCAGACGAATGCTGTGGGAAACGGTGTCAAAGCCTTTAGTGGAAACAAATGCAAAGGCAAATGTCCTTTCGTGCACAAATTATTATGGAAGACCTTTTTTCTTCTTCTTTTTTTTTTTTTTTTAATTAAGTGAGCAGTGGGAGCTAAATGTTGTAAAGATGACAACTACAGCTGGACCAAAGGTGTTCCGATGCTAACTCTTTTATCAAAAAGAAGTTAGTTTTATCCATTTACAAATGAGGGAAACAAAGTCTGGTTGTTATCAAACTGTCCACATGGTGGCACGCTTATTCCGTGGACAAAAAAACCCCATAGAACACAGCCACTGTCACCCCTGGTCTAATGGCTGCAGTCTTTAATGTTTGTAATAAAAAAGAGCTGCCAGCCTTTGCAGGGCTGACCTGATGTGTAAGACTTGGTGCACTTTGCTGCAGTGTTAATCCTCCACTTTCAGGATTGGTGGCTTTTTAAATAAGACATTCTTTACTTTTTTCTCTGTGACCTTGAATAAAGAAATTGATGTTGTATTCGTGTCTGACCTTTTACATTTTGCAAAATACTATGGTTTCTTTTTCTCTGTGCCAGAAACACCGTGGTGCTCCCCCATTAAAGTGAAACATGGTTATGCAAACTGCAGGACACCTCAAGGAGAATATTACAAGAACGTACTGGGGACAAGGTGTGATATTCGCTGTCAAAAAGGGTACGAACTGCATGGCCCTCAGCAGCTAATCTGTCAGTCAAGCAAACGCTGGTCTGGGAAAGTGCTGTGCAAACGTAAGTAGCTAGAAATTGGTGCGTGCGGCTTGTGCTGCAAGTTCAGCAGACAGAAAGCCCTATATGCCTTTGAAACACTGATCTTTGGGTTGTTATTGGTATTTTAAACACTGACATCTACTTGGAAATGTAGATTGACTGCTTGTTGAGGATCATACAGTGGCATATGGCACTGCAGTGGTACAAATATTTTTGGCGTAGGGAATATTTTGTAAAAATAAAAAGCATAAAGCTGCTTTAAAACATTGCCCATCTTGGATTTCATAAGTTGACACAGTTTGTATCAGGTGTCTAAATGGGCTCTTGTAGTAAAATGTTTTCTGACAAAAGAGGAATAGCTACTTGTAATCTTTTTCTCATATAAATACTGTATTGGGATGCTGACATGTATGTAAAATTAAATTGGAAACGTGGCTATTAGCAACAGTGTAAAAAACCTCATGTGGAACATGACTTTCTCCCGTTTGTCGTTTGCCAGCTGGATCTTTATTTCTGCGTAGTCCCCCCACCTTCACTTTACTCTAAAGGGGGGGTGACGGGTTTTCCAAAGTCTGTGTTTTCTCTTCCAGAAAAGCGCTGTCCCACCCTGTCCATGCCAACCAACGGGGGTTTCAAGTGTTTAGATGGTGCCTACTTTGGCTCGAGGTGCGAGTACTACTGTTCGCCGGGATACCAGCTGAAAGGTGACCGTATAGTAACGTGCATGGATAACAAAGTTTGGAGTGGCCGGCCAGCGTCCTGCATTGGTAAGTAGGATGGTTGGTCTGCATCCCGGAAAATCTACATCTGGAGGTACTTGCTGGTGCCTGAGTCCTCCAAATGAATTCCAAATTGCTTTTCTTTCCAGTTCCTGGAGAGGAAAAGCAACTATCCCTTTTGACGAAGCAGAGAACAGTTTTCCAAGGGATGGATAGAGACTGTTCTCTGTCACCTAGTACTTTCAGTCCTAAGAGGCCATCGTCCTTACACACATGCTATCAGCTCCAAGCATTATTGCTTTATTAAACATGAAGCTGATGTAAATGGTCAGTGCTTTACAATGCTTATAACAGCTTTTGCTGATCTCCTGGGCGACTCACTGGTAGTCTGTAATTACTGTGCTGCTCTTCCAGCATGTTCTCTGAGCTGGAATCTGTTGTGCTCTCTGCAACTTCATGATAAAACGGGTTTCAAACTAAACCATTTGTCTGACCTCCCCTGTTGCTTTTCTTTCTTGGGATCATGGTCTCCAAATATATCGGGGCAATATGTAGGGATTGTAGTTACCAGCATGGTTGCAGTGAGCTAAACTAAATTTCAGCCTTGTTCACGTAAGTTATGCCAGCGACTTTCAGTACATACTCAGCAGTCTCCTGGCAACTTTGGCTGGAATAATTGTTTCTATATACATAAATCAGAAGAGAGATAAACAGTACGTGTCAGGCCCCACCTGGAATACTGTGTTCAGTTTTGCTGCCTGCTATGCAAAAAAAAAGGTGGACAGGCAGGAGAGGGCCACACAGATGATCAGAGGACTGGGAAGCCTGTGATGTGAGGAAAGACTGAGAACTGGGTTTGTTCAGCCTTGAGAAAAGAAGGCTGAGGGGAGACCAGTATTTAAGGGTGGGTACAAAGAAGATGGGAGACTCCCTTTTTACAAGGAATCACATAGAAGAGAGGAGGGGTAATGGGTACAAGTTACTCCAGGGGAGATAGAGAAAAATTTTCTACAATCAGAACAATTGTCCATCCGAATAATCTCCCCAGGGAAGTGCTGGATTCCCCAGCATTGGACGCTTTTAAGATTCAACTGGACAGGGTGCTGAGTCATCTTGTCTAGACAGTGCTTATGCCATCAAAGGTTGGACCTGTCTCTTCCAACCTGGTATTCTGTGATTAACACACATTGAGATTTACCTTTTCTTTCCTACTAATGAGATTTCAGCAGATAGTGAGGTCTCAGCTGCTTCTGCTCTTGTTTCTGGGAAGTCTCTGATAAAAGGTTCCGCAGCTGTCCACAGAGGAAAGGGGTTTGTTTTTCCATTTGAATTGGCTACCAGTAATTTAAGCTTGTGGGTGGTAGAGTATTTGTGCTCAGTGTTTTTCTTGTATGTGATGACTCGGTTTTCCTCAGAATGCCTGTGGCTCAGCCTAGGTTAGCAAATGACTTTGGAGTCTCTCCAAGGTGGCCCAATGTTTGTCGAGTTTTGTTCAGGTTTCCTGTTACTTGGTGTTGTACAAATGTATAAATGATCCTGCTGCTTACGTCTAGACTGTTTGTGGTGTCTCTTGTTTTTATTTACAAAAACAAGCCTTGTCCTTCTCAGTGGGGTGGGCTTAGGAAGAAAAACAAACCCTTTTAAGTTTGGGAATGATAAAATGTTGTCCTCTATATTTTCTGGCACTTTCAGAACCTCATCTCTTTGCCGCGACGGGGTGCTTATTACAGAGGATGCTGTCTTGCAGAGTAGAGTGAGCAAGTATGTCGTAAGCAAAAAAAGAGGCTCAGTTAGCACTAAGACTAATTTCTGAGTCAAAAAATGTAGGACAGTTGTTGTACATGGTATGATTGCAAGTCCCACGTAACCCAGTAGAAGTAATACTGTGTAAGTTCCGGTAATGCCACATAGTATGGAGAAGACCCTTTCAATCCTCATGTGCACACAGTTCCTGTGTGCAAATAATGAGTTACGCAGTTAGCAAACTGTTTAATAAGGTTATCTTTTGACCTCTTGACAGGTAGGATAGAGGTTTGTTTTTGTGACCAGATGTGACTCTAACACTGTAATGCAGTTTGCAGTTGAACACACATCCCTTACTGTAATTCATTAATGAAGGAAAAGTCATCAGTGAACCGCAGCCTAGGAAAGTTTACCAGTGGCCAGGAGAGAACTGTCTGAACAGGTGTTCTCCCTCATTTTCAGCTGAGGAGTAAAACTGAGGTGAGGGGAGTGATGAAATACAAAGGAGCTGATTCATTTGTTACTTTAGTGTATAAGCCACTAGTTGCACTGTGCAACCCTGTGGCTGTTACGTGTGGTCACAGGACGTGGGCTGGTGAAGTTAATGCTGTTACAGATAGTTAGGGAAGTGACCTGGGGACGCCACAGCTATTGTCATCAATTCACGTTGCTAAAATAACTTTTGATCAAAAAAGATCAACATAGAGCTGCTTTTGGTTATCAGATAGCTAAAAATGCTAACACTTACTTGAATAATGTTTTCATTATATCCTTAATGCACTGTAACATAGATTGAAATAGGTATTTTCCTCTAGAAGATTGAAAAATGTCACCTTCTTTTCTTCTATAAAGGTTTCATTTTCCTGATGACTGTATAAAAGAGATTGTGGTAAATGGATGTCACCGTGCTAAGTCATCCTTTTTGTCACATCCCAAGACTGTATTGATAGGTAGTTAAGTAACAGCTTCCAGCTACCTGAATGTCTGAAACAAGCTCTGCACTCTGAGTCATTAATTATACAGGCCCTGATAATGGATGTTTTGAAATACAGAGCAATGCCTTTTGGAGCAGGGTGGGGAGAGCAGAACAGTGTTGTTCATTCCCTCTTTTATGATTTCCAGTCTCTTCGTCTCTTTATGCTTTTGACACAGACTAATGTTTTGAATTAACTTCCAGCCATCATTTAATGTCATCAGCAGTCAGTAGTAACAGCATGTTTGTGCAGCAGCCAACCGTTTACCTCTCCATCTGGACTCGTGAATAAGCAAGCAGTGGGCATTCAGTACCGTCCCTCTGTTTCTTTCCTCTTGTCATCCCAAATTCGCAAGCAAATAAATGCAAACCTTTAACATACTATAAGAAAGGCAGTTAACAACCTCTTTACATTTTGTTGAAATTGGTAACGTGGCCAGTCCCTGAAATGTATTTAAAAAAAAAAAATCAAAAACCTATTTGAAAATTTGTCATTTTTCTCCATAAAGTTCAAAAGGCTGCTGCAAAATTGGGTATTCCACTGCTGACCTCCTGGTGCCATGTCTGCAGCGCTGCTTCCCTGCGTGAGGCCGGAGCGCCAGTTGCTGCTGCTGAGTAGCCAAGAAAAGCGACAACTTAGAAGAATGTGAGAGAAACAGTGGCTGAACAGTGCCAAACTTTTTATGAGAGCTCAGTTTCCCTGCCCATGATCTAAACCTTGCAAGTGAGACTCGCCATTTAATACATAGCCCTGCTAAACAGCTTAAATAAATCCCCTTGGCTTTTCATTGGTCTTTCGGCAGTGACGCTGAACTAGAAACATAGGACTATCCATACGGGGTGGGACACCTTGCAGCCTGTCCTGGCTCCAAGTCTGACCAGGAATACTTAATAAGCAAAGGAGTCTGACAACCTGACGCTTGCAGGATGGTTTCTTCCTCTGATAAAACCTCCCCAGCAGTCAGCAATCTTCTGGGTTCCGCTGCTGCGGGTTGTTTTGAGATTAGTTTAGTTTTCTAACCTGCATGTGGGCACCGTGCTCACATCATACATTTTATTGAAGGTTTTATGGGGGAGGGTTGTGTTTCGGTTTTGTCACATGTATTTGCCTGGGTGTTCCCTGGTCACCTTCTCTCCGTTTAAAAGGACTGGGTGCTTTTTAGACCTGTCTTCCTTCTGCCAAGGTGCTTAATATGCTGTAGAATGGCTGCAGCTTTGTACAAGGGCATGAGGAAACAGACCTGAGAGCTGTTAGGTTTAACACATCCTGATGGCCGCTGCAGTTGAAGAGCCTCTTTGCTTGATAGCTGCTTTCTCTTGGTCCATTTCAAAGCAGAGTTATTCTGGTGGGGTTCATTCAGTGCCTGTTGAATGGTAAGAGGCATCAAAAATAACCAAAGTAAGTATCCTTTCCAGGAATTTTTGAGCCCAGTTAAAAAGGCTGCCTGGCCCCTGGGTGCTTGGTGAGTTGGTTTCCACAGTAACCGTATTGTTTGTCTTTACAGTGTGGAAGTACAAGCCAGCTCACACCGACCAGCACTGAATAGCATAATGAGCTTTCTGATTAATTAAGTGCTTAAAACACTGGGTCCTTAAATGCTGTGCTGTCATTTATTCCAGATCTACATTTATTTAATGTATGCTGTCCATAGCACAGTGGTGAGCCAGCGCCACCGTCAACTAACCAGAGCCAGGAGCAGCCTTGGCGAGGCTGGGTTATTTCCTACCCTAATTCTGCTGCGTTGGGGGGTTATTGAGAGCAACGTAGTTTTGTAGAGGAGGGTAGAGCTCTCGCTGGCTGTGCTGTGAGCAGGTTTCCACACGCAATGGGGACGTACTCTAAAAATAAGGGAGTGAATGAAGAACACGAGGAAAGGAAACCGCTTCGTACAGCGGGAGTGGATGCTTGAAAATCCTGTTCATTTGCACGCTGTAGCAGATGAAGGAAGGAGGGGTGAATTAAAGTGGAAAAGTTAAAGAATCCCTAAAGTAGAACTAAGTGAAGGGCATTCTTGGGAGGTATGGGAAGATCAAAAGTTGTTTCAAGGATTCTGCTGCTCGTTTTTGATTGCTCCACTCCCTGCAGTGGTAAATGACTTGCTAGCTTCACCTTCTAGAAGGATCTACAAAGAAATCCACTGTTATCCTCCCAATATATAGGAGGCGATACACATATGTTCATAGTTTATTTACCAAAAACTCCAACAAAAATTAATATTTGTGTAAGGTTATTTCCAATATTCCTGATGTTTTCTAAATAACTTACGTACAACACTTACTTGCCTGTGCCTCCCCGCCTCCATCCTGTGCAAAATTAAGACAGGAGCTCTTCCACAGGAAGTGCCTCACAAAGCTGTGGTGTTTGAGGTTGGAGGAAAACTTCAGAAACAGGAGAGAGAGAGAGTGAAGCTAGCTTTTGAGAGTCCTGAGTTCTTGGAATACCATTAAAAGTTGGAAGGGGCTATAGCAGGGCTGCACTTGCCCTAGTTAAACTGAGACAAAACAATGTATGTTGCTTGTAGAACATGAGGGTCTATGAAATTATTTTGTATAATTGATATTTTATAAAGACCTAAATGTTGTCTCATTAGTTGGTTTTAGTTTTGGGTTTGTTGGTTGGTTTTGGGGGTTTTTTTGAAAGAAAGCCACACTGTGCTTTATATCAGCCCTGCAACTGAAAAGACAAGGCCTGCCACCCGTTCAATTCAAGCAGCATTTTAGGGTTTGCTTTCTATTTGTAGGTAAAGAGCAGTGCTGTCTCTTTGTTAATTTTTAAAGCTGTTATGGGACTTCATGGATTTAGACTTCATTCTGCACATAACCCAAGAGATGGTCAAAAACCTGAGACTAAGCTATTAAAGGTAGATTTTCTTAATTAATGCTTGTGATGGTGTTTGGGTTTGTTCACCCATGTGTTTCTCCTGTGCTGGCAGGACTGGCATTGAATGTGACTGAAGATGAGTAACTGTGCATCACCTTTATCCTCTGTCAGAGTCTCTTATCATGGCCACTGGTCCTTCACTCCTGACTAATAGTCACAGTGTTCTGGTAGCAGTTGACTGGGCTTTCAAAATGTACCTGGTCTGCTTTCTGTTTTGTATTACCTGTAAGGCATTAGGGTAAGAATTATTTGAAAAAAATCAAGTGCAGCAGCAATTCTCTGCAAAATGACAATTTTGTCTGTCTTCTGTTGTTTCTCTTTTTGCAACTGCTGCAGGAAAAATAACCAGCGTGTAAACAGTAACGTGTGAAGTTTATCGTGCAGAGAGATTTATGGTCAGTGCACTTGACAAATGTTCTTAATCACAATGTCTGCCACACAGAGGAGCATAGAGGGGAAGAGCAGATAAACAGAAGGGCCTGGCTCCTCGGGTACAGTCTTGGACAGGCATCTGTCCTTCCAGTTCAAAGCTAAATCCATTTGTTGACATCGCTTTTTAACGGGAGACTATGTAAAGACATTTACAATAAGAAGTACTTTTAATTAGCTTTTTACATTGCAAGGGGTTGATCGTTGTCATCTCCTACTCTTCTTACCAGAAGGTGAGAAGTACAGGCTCCGCCTGCCGTGGCGGGGGAGGGTGCGGGGGTCTGCGGTGTTGAGGAGGCAGCTGAAGGTGGTGCCGGGTTATGCCGACAGCAGGGCAAGAGCTGCGAAGCAAACACGTAGCCGTAACACATGCACATCTGCCCGTTTATTTCAACAGATACTGAACCTCCGAGAATCCAGTGCCCGAGCGTGAAGGAGAAAACTGCAGAGCCCAACAAGCTGACGGCCAGAGTGTTCTGGGACACCCCGGAGGGCAGGGACACCGCTGATGGGATTCTGACAGAGTAGGTGCAAATCTGTAAATGTTTGTGTTTTCTCCTTTTTATTCTTGGGGTCCTTGGTTAGTAGTTGAGCTGATGAAGGCGGCCAGGTGGCCTTTCCCCCAGATGCTTATTTATAGCTGCCACATATCAATGGCCTGTAAAGAATGGCATGTTTAATTGAAAAATTAAAAATTAACAACTTGGATTGTTAAGGACCTGGCATGTAGAGGGGTAGCAGATTGTTGGGGTTATCTTAGAGAGGATGGAATAAAAAAACCACAGCATTTTGACTGCACCTGTGAAATTTTCCAGAGCTTCTTTGTGGGTCTCTCCTCATATACAAGTTTTCTTTCAGCAAGTTACCTTTTATACATAATGATGAAAAGATAATAGTGCATTGGAGGTAGCAGCAGAGGAAATTTGGCCGTCTTAAAAAAAAGAAAAAAAAAGAAAAAAGAATTGAGTCACAAAACCGTATCTGCAATCATCTTTAGGCTTCTTCCCAACATAGCACTGGGTACTGATGTCATGGCGTTTTGCAGTTACTTGTAAAGCAGTGCCTCTCATTTGAAACTTAGGCAGCTTTAAACACTGGATTTAAACTTAACAGTTTCTTCAGAATTTCCTTGTCAGTTTTTATGGTTTCACAGTCATATTTTCCAGAAGAGCAAGGTGTACCGGTGATGGTACCACTGTGCCTGATTTTCCCATCTTTATCATGCAGGATTTATGGCATTCTGTCTAGATTATTGTAACGGAAAGAGTATAGAAGATCTGGGTTTTTTTCATTAAGCAAGTTACATCTTTTAACTCTACATTAGTGGACTGATTAAGCTTAAAACCTCAAAGCTGTAAGCTTAAAGATGTGTTCAGTTTTGTGTGTATCCATAAAACCTGCTGAAAGACACGGTGACAATGCCTTCTTATTGTTAAAGTTTAAGTAATACCAGAAAGAAGAATTGCTTCACAACTAAAACCAGTATTGCTATTAAGGTCTAATGCGATAATTGTGTGGCAATTAACAGCATCAAAAAAACCCTAAGCTTGATAAAATAAACACTTTGAAAGTGTCACAGTAAAGAAATTCCAACGTCTTTTTGATTATGCCTAACAGGCAAAACAAATGGGGAATATCCCATGTAGACTTTGTTATAGGAGTAATTGTTCCCAGCTCAGAAGAGACTAGCTGTTGAATTTGTGGGAGCTTTTCCATAAATCTGTTTTATAAAATCTTGCTAAACTGTGATGTTTTATAGAGTGCACAGTGCTTTCCCTAAATGCAGTGGGTCTTGCAGTCCCGTGAGTATTTAAGCTCTCCTGTTACGCAAGACACTGCTCAACCTCACTGCTTCAGTGCTGAGGATACGTTTAACACGTCTGAATTCTCCTGACATATTTGCAGCCTAGGAACAAATTCCAGGTGCAAACACTGCTGTGGATCCCCACACCCTACTGCCATAATCTCACTTCCTATTCCATTTTTGTACATCAGTGTAATCACAGGAGTGCAGAGCAGCCAGATGGGGTGTGTCCCCATCATAAGAGGTTAAGTTTTCTTAAGCTGTGCTGGCTCTGGGTTACGCTGCAGCCATGATGGTGGGTTATTCATGAGACTAAATGAGGGAGGATCAATCTCAACTTTTTCTGATGTAAGGAAAAGGAAGCTTGAGTTCCTTTGGGCATGGTATGATGCTTGGCTACACTATGGATTATCTTACAGGAAGCAAGCAGGCCCTGCTTATCTGCCTCCCTTGTTGGTAGCAAGTTTAAATACTCTGGTCTCTGCTGCCTGGCTTCTTCCTTTGCTTACTCTTAGTCTTGAGTCACGTAGTGGAGGCAGACAGTCTTAGCATGCCACAACCTTCACTCTTCAGGCTTTTACAGCATTGTCTGTAGGAAAATACTGATGGATTTATGAATGTGTCGCATTTTCTCTCCTGTTTTAGTGTTATTTTGAAAGGCCTGCCACCAGGGTCACATTTCCCAGAAGGTGACCACAAAATCCAGTATACCGTGTACGACAGAGCTGAAAACAAAGGCACTTGCAAATTTCTTGTTAAAGTCAGAGGTAAGAGTGATGTTTTACCCTGTGTAAATACAGTCACTGCTTTGCATCTGGCTTAGTAGGCAGTTTGAGAAACATCCTCATTTCTGTATTTGTCTGTGTATGTTTGTGTATGTGAACTGTATGTTGATGCTGAAAGGGAAGGGAGAACACCCTCTTGCTCGAGACCCTGGGAGCCAGGCCTGCAGCAGGGTGGGTGGCTGGCACCCGTGCACATCAGGGAAGAGCTTCACTGATCAGTCCTGCCTCTGGCTCCACACCCCCTCCCTCCTGCTGGCTTCTCCCTGATGCTTGGCTTGTGAGCTGCTGAAACAAGGAGTTTTTTCAGGTGTGACTCACGTCTGTCAAGCAGGGCTGCCCCTGCTTGGGTCCAGATCTTGAAATCTGGAGTTGAATATACAGGGATGAAGCCTGTAGGTTTGAGTTTCCGCTCTCATTGTGCTCCGTGACCTTTTGTCACCATGATACCACAATTGCCACGCGTACACCTATGCATCTCCATCGTTTTAGTTTACAGCTGAATTAAGAGGGAGTCCTTTGTTGGTTTGTTTGGGGTTTTTAAGTACATGAATAATAATATGTGAAGTAAACAGAAGAAAGTTTTCTATACTGGTATTCCACTGGCCATGCTACCCTCATAACAAACAAGGTGATTCATGCCTTGTCTTAATATTTTTTTTGCCTTTTAAAGTCAGGCGCTGTGTGAAATTGAACGCCCCAGATAACGGCTACATCAAGTGTTCAGGTGATGGAAATAACTATGGTGCTACATGTGAGTTCTCCTGTATTGGTGGCTACGAGCTGCAAGGAAGCCCAGCTAGAGTATGCCAGTACAATCTGGGGTGGTCAGGAGTGGAGCCAACCTGTGCACGTGAGTATTTCACCACTTTGCCGGGTGCGGGGGGAGCTGCCAGAGGAACAGGCTCTCATGGCAGTGAGAATTTGAGAAGGGAGTGTGGGATGGGAATACAGCTGCAAACTTTATGCCCTAGAGGTAAGAAACTTAAGAAACTTATCTTTGTCTCCTCTGCCAATTTGCACTTAACAGCTGAAGCCTTTGCCACCTTTGGCTGCTTTTTCTCAGAATGATGATTGTACCTCACAACTGACAGTGGGTTTTGCCCAAAGCTCTCTACCAAACTTCACATTCTGGAGTCAATCCATCTTGCAAGCCAGAACAGCTTCAGATCAGTTTGTGGTTTCAATGAGGCAAATATGTAATCCATATCTTCTTTATTATTATTATCTTCTTCCCGTGCTTCTCCTATCTAACAGTTTTTGCTTTTAGAGACTGCTCTGTTTTCAGTATGCTCCAACTTTTCTTGTAAATTTAATTCTAGCCATGAATATTAATGTGAATGTGAGGACTGCAGCTGCACTTCTGGATCAATTTTATGAAAAGCGGAGACTGCTAATTATTTCAACTCCTACTGCAGCCAACTTCTTCTACAGGATGCAGTTGGGAATGCTGCAGGTAAAAGAGTTTCAGGGGACGGTGCAAGCGGGGTTTTTTTTGTCTTTAAAGAAAGACACACGAGGACTAGCTCCAGATTTTGATGTAAATCTACAGACTTCGGCTGTTATATTGCAGTCCCTGGAGGATCTGACTGAAGCAGTAGTGGTTCTGGATTAATCCTTTTAACATGGGTTTGAGTTTAAACATCTCTCCAGTCTCTAATTCAGCTCCGTTTTGGATTGTGCTGCCTCTCACTGGTCAGTCACTAAATCGCAGACAATTCTGGCCCACTTCCATCCTCCCCGAAGTAATATAATGTTAACTTGTGGTCATTAATAATTCTCTGACTCAGCTTCTAAAGACTTTGGGAAAATACCCCAAACCACCCAGCACTTCAGTGGTTGCACTTCCTGCAAACCAGGCTCACAGACTTAGTAACTACAGTGCAAAGAAGTGTGAATGGCTTCAGACATAACCGGTGCACCAGCAAGCAGAGGACTGGAGGCTCAGCACAGAAATCATGCTGGAGATAGCACTAGGGTATTTTGTTCCAACAAAATAGGAAAACTTCTGGTAATTGTCCTTATGAACTGTAAATGTGATGCTCTTGTTGGGTTTTTGCTAGACTCAGAGATGTGTCTCAGAAGTGTATCTGTGACCTCAGGGAAAGGAGACTGTCTTTTTTCACAGCAGCACGTGCTTGTATATTGTTTCTTTCCCGCAGCTGTAACAAAATTCAGTATGAATAGTCACTGAGATATGAACACAATCCTGTTTTTGACTGGTGGCTTAAGTTACGATTATATTTAAAACCAAAAGAAAGGGTTTTCTTTCCCCCCATTAGATTAACTTGGTAAGAAAATTCAATATAGTGATCAAAATGAAATATTTTAAAACATAGATTTGATGGGCTATAGTACTTCTCCCACTTCTTGTCAGTGGTCAAGCAAGTTGGCATGAAACAAAACTTTTTCTGCAGTCAGCTAGCATTTCGCATACCTTGCTTGGATTGACAGATTAGATTACTGGCGCAGTGCTTAATACACTGACATCTTTTCATGTCATTGCAAAGACAAGTTCATATTTCTCCCAGGTGGTGGTGGTGTTAGAGTAGCTAAGAATCTGTCATTTAACATCCCCCGGAGTCATGAGGCTCTAGTTCTTTGCTGTGAGAATTAGAGACTTTTTGTAGTATGCTCCCATTCGAGTTTCAGCCACCTCGCTAACCTAAGATCAGACTGTTTACGAACACTTGCTGCACGCTCAAAACAACCCCCTGTTCTCTCACTGAAAAATAACATACCTCTTTCTTCTTTTAACCCTTCCAGCCGGCGCAGTGTGGCTTAGACCTCCGACATGTCACTGTAGTGGAATTGGTTGGTGTCTTCCCAGCACAGATAGGAAGAATAGGTGTAAAGCTGCTGCCCCCGTCACTTGCCCTGCAACTCAGGTAAAGTAAGCTCTCGCTGCTGTTGCGCTTGCACCTTGGCATATATGATCTATTGCTTTTCATTCCCTGCCTCTTATTCTCTAAATACACCTATGCCACTCTAATTTACATAGCCAGACAACGGAAGGTGGATGTCGATGAGTAAGTTTTAAGATTAATTTGCTTTCTGTCGGGGCAATAGCTACTTCAAATTCATGGACATTTGGTATTTATGAAATTCTGAGAGTATCGACTTCAGCTTGTTTCACATTTAAATGGGCTGTGACCATAAACATGAAACAAGCTGCACTCTATGTTGCTCTTCCCGGTGCTGTGTCTTCCTTGCCCCATTGCTCCAGCTGTTTTCTGAATTCACGTGAACTCCCTGTGTATCCCTTTGATCATGTTATAGGTCTATATTTTCGGGTGCTGCCACTGAAAACAGTTCAAGCATGCCTGTATTTGTGCTAGAGTTGGCTTGAGTCACAACACGGCACAACCACTGTGCGAGGACGGGCTCGGAACGGCTGCCAGCGCAGCCCCAAAGGGCAGCGACAGCCCATCTTCTCTGCAGTGATGCTGGTGCCAGGCCCCACAGGGAAGGCAGTGGTTGCTCTTTGAAGTCCCACATGGAGCAGTGATCTGGGCAGTGTTTCAGAGGGGAAGTTAGCTCAGCCTCCCCAGCCTGACTACCATGTTCAGCAGCTCAACTGAGGTGTTTGAACTGTTTTGACTCGGTTTTAGACTGCCACAGGGTTGGTTTTCACTTGAAAGTGAGTCTTGAAGTGCCAGCATTTCCTAGAAACAGGAGGACTGCAAGAGCCAGAAGTGAAGGCCTGGGTGTCTGGGAAAGTGGTAGTTACTTTAAAAAAAAAAAATCCAAGAGCATTTTAGGCAATATCTTCAGTGATATGCCTGAGGAAATGCAGTGAGTTTTAATTTAGGACAATGAAAAATGCTGACAAGTCAGAGAGGATTTTTTGGATTGCAAAAAAACCCCAAAACACTTGGGAAAGAGAAAGCACAAAGAGCTGCTCTTTTATTCAAAAAAAGTAAAAGTACTTCTACTAGAACTGAAATGGTTCAATAAGCTCTGGTAACACCTCATTCCATGCCCTACTGCAGCCTTTAATGGAGCAATGTTTTAGAAGATGGTATGATACAACCTGCCCTGCACTGAGTGAAAGTTAGTTTTCCATTTGATTTTTTTTTAACTCTCTTGTGACTGCAGTGTGTGAATTATAGCATTCCAGTTCTGGAAGGCACTTAAATTGAAATAAACCACACCCTTAATCATCTTCAACAAAGATGCTGTCCAGAACTGGCACTCAATAAACTAATGAGCACAGGTATCCTAGCTAAAATTTGGAAACCTCAGAAGGTTAGCATTTGCAGAAAGTAAGCGTTTTTCTCAGGTGAGATGAGACACAAGAGGTATATAGCTTCCCATCACCATAGCCTAGCTTCAAACTTTATTTTAGTTTGAATTTAGTAGCCAAGCTCCCTCACTGAGAGCTCTAGGTGTTTTCTTGTTGCAAACTTGTTAGAAGGCTGAGGAAGGCCCATCTTGCTATTTCTCACCTTACTGAATTCCCCTCCTTGACCCTCTACTTCATAGCAGCTTTCCTGTCCTGACAACTTCTGTCACAGCTGCCTCAGTTTATTTTCCCAAAAACACCAATTGACTGACTGCATGTCTCAGGATCTTCTAGTTCATTACTCCTTCAGGGAGAAGTTTAAAAGAGCACCAAGGATATCCTTTCGTTACTGTCAGAGAAGTAACAGTAGAAGAAGAAGAAGAGAAGCCTCTTCTCTTCTTCTCCAGAGAAGCCTAAATGATCCTTTTATTACTCAAAAGGAAAGGACTCTGCTGTGATTAGCAGTGGCTTTGGTTCTCCTAAATGGGAATTACCACCAGGTAGATGGTTATCTGACTCCAGTAATTTTGTCCTGCGTTGTCTCATTGTGGTTTTATACTATGTGGCAACCAAGAAGGGGAATAGTCTGCTTGTAACTCTAGCTCCATCTCAATGCTTTTCTTCAGGCAATGGATATAGCACGTTTTTTGTCTCGTGGCTTTTTTTCCTCTTGCAATAGCAATAGGTAATAGCATGTGCTCTACCAACAGCCAGAGGTCTGAGAAGAAAACAGCTGAGTGCAGCTACCCCGTGTCCCCTTCCCTAAGGCGGAGATACAGCCTGCAGCACATGCAGACACCTGCTCTCTATCCAACTCTGTTTACTTACAGCTGGAAGGAAGTGGGCCCTGTATAGCCCCCTCTGACCAGCCCCACCTTCCTCCACGAAGACCCACTGGGCTGGTTCTGCCGTTTATTAGTCTGAAGCGCCCAGGGGGTAGCTGGCAGCTTTAACAAAACGAGTTCCCTATTTTGCAGGCTGCTGCTGAGGATTCCCCACTACAATTTCAACATCGTGGTGATGGACAAGCACGGAATGGACAAGGAGCGCTATCCCTTCCCCGCAACGCCAGCTGAGCTCTTTGCACTTATTGACAATTTTCCCTTGAGAAAAGAAGAGATGAAACTGCAAGCAGAAATTGGCCAGTCATGTCCCTGATTCAGGGTTGCAGGTGTCAGTGAATTTTTTTTAATCCACGTAATTCTCCCCTTGGTGCTACACAAAGCATGGCTTTTTTTAATCACTGATGTACAGATTTTTTGTGTGTTGTTAAGGCTGCCCGGCTGTGTAGCTACTCTGCATAGAAGTATGCATGATGCTTTTTTTGTCCTTTTGGCCCTCTTCAGAGAAAAGCGTACGTAGGATTACTACCCAATCATTTTTCTTGTACAGAGAGGGAAGAACTGAGGTACGTTACAGGGAGTTTATTTTGGATTTTTCATTCAGTGTAAAATTGGCATTTCTTTCTTACTGTTTTAAGTCTTTTTATTAATAAAATGTTGGTTTGCAAACAGATGGTTGTCTAAAACTCCTCTTGGAGGTAGAAGTTGATCGATTAATTCAAAAGTTGGATCAAAATACCTCTCTGCAAACCACGGTAACGGAGACATTAGCCTCAGAGTGGAAGTGTACAAGCAACCCAGTGGTGTCTTTCAGTTCCACTAATAACATGGTCGATCACAGACACAAAGCTTAAACTGAAGGCAACACAAGTACCTGTTTTCAGCAGCAGCGAGGAGAAAATAACTGACAGCATGGAAGTCATTGTCAGAGGAGTACGATAAAGGAACAGTGAGCCCTGTAGAAGATGGGCAGTAATTACCAAGGGCCACATACTGCAGCGCATGGCAGAAAATTATGCTTTTACCTGGTATGCTTCTGCTTGAGGAGCAGATTTCTTTCCTCTCTTCATCTTGGAGACAGACCAGGCTGTTGATTTGATGGCAGAGAAACACTATCCCCAGGGAAACTTCATCAAGGAATTGTCATTTCCAGATCTGTGAAAATACTTGTTTGCAACTCGTCACTGACAAGTTAACAAAAAAAGTTCCCTGCTTAATACAAAGCATTAGGAGGCAATCAAAACAGGAAAAAGTTTCCTGTTGTTCTGTTATAGCCCAGAGTCTTGCCAAGCCACTGCAAAGAATATACATCGTGCACGAAGAGTAGCAGCATCAAAGGAGCGAAAATTGTGAGTTACAGCTACAGCTACCTGTTTACAGGGGATGACATGTAATTTGACGTGTCTGAAAAGCAGCAGTGTCTGTGCTGTTCATTCTTGCCACTCGAACACAGCGCTGTTTCATCAGCCTAACACTTGTTGGTCTTGACGGTAAGGTAGATTGTTTAATTTTACACTCTGGTGTCAGCAGAGGAACAGTTTATCAGCATCTTTAAAGCAATCCTTACCAGAAGTCAGTCTCTCACACCCAAGGAAATTAGAATATCTCTTTTAAAGAGATTGATGCTGCAAGTGAATTAACGGAACTCTGTCACAACTAAAACCAGCACATGAGGGAATGAATAGGAAGAGAGGGAAGTCAGCCCTGAGACTAGCTGGCAAAAGCAAATTTGGGGACTGAAGTGCAACAGTCTTCTGAACAGGATGGTCTGCTTCCCAGAGAGTTAGGAGACACCTACTAAACACCCAAGAGCAGGTATGAAAGCGTGGCACAGCTCCAGTAATGACTCCCTGCAGTGCTGATGCCAAAAGCAACGAACATCTGGATACACCCTGAAGTCTGCAGGTGGTGGAGCCAGGTTTGCAAGGATGAACAACGAGAGCGCAAGGAAGCTGACTGAGTTTTCAGAGCATTGCTGTGAAGAATAAGATGCAAGGACAGGATTGGTGACAAAAATCACAGAAATAACATTTCTGTTCCAGACGACGAAACCAAAAAGTAAGTCTGGAGCCAGTGTGCTGATGGACACAGCTGTACCCCAAGTGCCACCTAATACCAGTGGTTAAGAAAACGAGGCATGGCCAGGCACATGAGAGTGCCTCAACTGATTTCAAATGATTTAAAATGAAAACAAACAAACAAAACCCCACCTCTGGTGGGTCTGATTTTTTAACTGTATTGCTGCAATTCCAACCCGCTGCTGCTCCATTTTGATTTCAGCACAGAGTATCAGTGCATCCAGTCATCTTTCATGACTGGGTGAACAGGAGTGGGGCGTTACAATTGCTGCAATTAGGAAAGTGATTGCAATCACCAGGCTGTTACAGGAAATTGAATTGAGTGGAGGAGAGTGCACGAGTGATTGGATTACTAGTTATGGTTCTACGCAGAACATCTATTAAAATCTTGTGATTAAGAAAAGCTGTTCTTGATTAGTAATATAAGGTTTCTGGCACTTTCTGTTGTACATTTTTGTGGGAAGGAATGGAACACTGAAAAACATCATGTGCCATATCTCTGTGTTGGAGTCAAATCAGCCTGCATGCAGGGACGTGGCAGATTGGCCTTTGGGAAAGGAGTGTTTCAGCAAGGGACTTAATATTTCTGGCTTTAGCCCAGCATTTAAATATTCAGATAAACTCCAAATATATTCCAGTAACTCGTCCTGTAGACTTTTGGTCCTAGAAAAATAACACTGTGTAAGCAAGGTGCAGTATCTTACACCAGTGCACTGTGTTTTGTTTAACGTTTAACAAAATTCATCTCCCTCAAAATGATAACAGGCCAGAGGCTTTGTTGTACTACCAATGTGGCACTTCCTGCCATAGCTGTAATCCTACCACTGCTGTCAAAATGCAAATCCTGTTTAAAACATAAATTTTAGCTGGGAGGATTAAAGGCTGTTTCCAAGAAGCAAGACCTGCCATGAGTCTTGTCCTTTCCACTCCCACCTCCAGGCTAGTCATTGCAGGAGATGTTACAGATCACAGTGTGTGGGTACAGCCACAGGCTGGAGGTTACTGCATCAGTCTGGAGATGCTTTCTGATTTATGAAACATCTTCTGCAAACAAAACTACTGGGATAAATTGTAGGAGGCAGCAATTTCTCATCACCACAAACCAGTTCTGTAAATGACCTGATTTTCCCTAGATCCTAACCAAGAACTCCCATGATTTGATGAGAACAACCCCTTCCTCAACACCTGAAGAGCAGAGACAAAATTTAAAGTCGCATGTCCCTATTCCTGCAGTTCAAACCACCCCCTCTGGGACAGAAAGTGTTATGATTTAATGAACGCACCAGTGACCCTCGCGGCTCTGCGCCAAGTGACTACAGCCCAGCACTTACATAAGAGCGTGAGTCAGTCTGCCTCACATAATTAACGAGAGCGCAGGGGCTAAGAACTAACCCGAAGTACATCTAAATACTCTTATGATCGCAAACCCTCTTTTTAAATTGAGGTGATGAAATAATGGAGCTTAGGCTGTGCAATCTCAGCACTGGATCACTTGCAGTCACTCACCTCCATCTCTGTCAGTTCTCTACGTCCACGGAAAGGGAAAAGGGAGCAAGGCCTCACACCGTCAGGAGGTGGCACAGCTCCTCTGGGCGAGCTGTTGCCCATTTCTCTCTCCCCATCCGTGGCTGGAGGATGTTTTTATGGCAGCTCAGCGAAGGGAGGAGTGGGACAGCATTAGCAGTCACTGGAAGGCTGGGAGCAGCTGGGCTGGAGGAGACCCCGAGTCCATCGGCAGTGGTGGGCAGCACATGCATTTCTCTGGCCCCTTCCACGCAGCGATCCGGCAGCTGCATGGTCTGTAAAATGCAAGGAAAGCAGATGGGGAAGGCAGTGTCCGTGCAGAATGTGCTCATGCATATCCACTTAGCACCGTTATTTCCCGCTGCCACCCACGCACCCAGAAAGTAACCATGACCTGAATTTCGGTAACTAGGTTGGCCCATACTTCAGATTCAGAAGGAGAACTTGGCATCTGTCACCTCAAAGAGGAGGGGAGGGGACACCACGGCTCAATTGCACAGAAGTTACAGGGGTGTCTTCCACACCCCCAAGCAAAGGTACAAGGATCAGAGGAATGGCAGGAGGGCTCTTCCCCACTTGCAGCTGCCTTCCAGTTTACACGTGTTTGACCTCCCACCCCCGTGAATTCTAGCACCAGCATGGGGACAAGCCAGATGGGAGTGCTGTGAGGGCAAAGGAGCCGGCTGCTTCTGCCCTAATCACGCCAAGAGACCAGTGAACCCTGCTGAGGGGGGTCTCCCCTTAACCCGGCTGCAGGAGCCCAACATGCTGAGCCAGACTCTCAGACTCCTGCAAAGCGAGCCGAGGCAAGCCCCGGCCCAGAGCCCTGGAGTGTTATTTACCTTCACACTTTGTCTCTGGCAGTCAGGAGGGGACAGCAGGACACAAAAACCTGGAGAACCTAGAGAAGATGGAAGAGAGCCCTCAGCTCTGAGAGCTAAGTTGAAGTCAATATGACTCAGCTGAAAGTATAAATTAGAGAGATTAAATGTTTATTGTTTTTTCTTACAAAAGAAGAAATCAGGACCATACCTAGATGTTCGGGTGAGCAGGACCTTGAACAAGGGAATGGGTAGATGATTTGGGGATGGACAAGAGGACTTGGTGATCATGCAGGATGTTAAGGTACATGTAAAATAATTCTCGAGACAGAGGGAAGAGAACACTGCATTTCCCTTATTCTTCGATTTGCATGTTAAAAAGAAAATGGGTTTAATGCTTATGAAATAAAAAACAGCTTAAAACCACTTAAAGTGTAGAAACTAAGGCATACAAAAAAAAGCAGAGGGAGAGACACTGTCAATGGAGTCCCACCTCTGAAGACAGGCCAGGCCTCTTGCATTATTCATTATGTATAAGTGAAGTTATTGTCATTGAGGTAATATGGGATATTCCTGAAAGATACCCTTATAATTTTGCTGTAGTGCATTTTAGGAGAGATAAGGACACAGCAATATGTTTCATTATTTTAATTTTAAAAGACAGAACAGTAATTGTGCCAACAGCTGCAAATGTATTACCAGCCACCTTTGTCCACAAAACTGAACACACAGTGCACAGTACAAAAATGTTCCGAGCAGGAAATGTTTTGTCTAATTTGGGCAGAACTTAACATGCTGCAATGCCATTTACTGCTACTCCTGTTCACATCCAGCAGAATAATTAAACAAACAGCTAGCAACAGCTTTTAAGCAGAGCAAAGGCAGACCGAGGGATACGTGACATTCTCTAATTGCTGCAACAAGTGACTACGCTTGGCTTCAGGTAAACTTCAGTAATTAGAACTACCCTCAAAAATATACACCAAGCTCTCGAGAGCAGTAGCACACAGCCACGTAGATGTTATTGCCACAGAGCAGAATTGTTGAAATAACGAACCTAAGTAAAGGCCAAGGTGCAGCAAGGGTGAGTTTCAAAACAACCTAAATACACCTAAAAAGCAAGTTGAGATTCACTTGCCAGTGTCAATATACACAGTATAATTAACACTGTCTTATTACCGCTTATCAAACAGTGTTTGCAAACATGAGATCACCAGGCGGGAGGGTTCGTGGTACACAGTGGTAAGGTTCTGCTAGCCTGCTTCTCAGCGTCTCCCGCTGAGTTATGGTAAAAGACATCACTGCAAATCAAAGTCCGCATCCTATTTGGGAATTCATTGCACGTTCTGCCACCATTTCTCTAGGGTTCTCCCTTGCTGGCAGTGTGTGTGTGGGGGGGGTGGGG